AAATAGAGAGGAAGAATTGAAGGGATTACAAGGAAGACACAAGTCTGAACTAAAGGGGAGAGATAAAATCAAGTGAAGAACTATTCTTGGGATAAAATGAGGTTTGTTACACATTTGTACTCTCTGAGGTAGGAGTTCTTGGAAAAGATGAAGCAGATGGAGAGAGGGAGATGATAGAGTCCTTTCTCCTAGCAGCAAAAGACAATTTTCATCACAGATAAGTGAGAGAAAGGAAACTACGTAATTTAACCTCTCAAAGTGAGACTCAAGTTTCCTTTCGATAAAATGAGACTGGTGCACTAGGAAACCTCTCAGGTCTTACAGTCTATTTTACCATTTTAATAATAAGACCCCACTGAATCCTTTATCTCTATCCTCACAATTTGATTTTACGGTGAAGTTTTTAATGCATGATATACTATTTGTTATTTTGAATATACTAATAGATACATATATACTTCCTGGGACTGCTGAAAGAATTCTTGCATTTAAGTATTCTAATGATGGATAGGTTGTGAAATATTATTCAGAGTCACTTCTGAGGCATTCCAACATGGAATGCAAAATTTGAATCTAACCATGGGGAAATAACAAACCCCAAAAGGGACAGTCACATACTGTACTCTTAAAAAGAATGTGAATGTCCTAAAAGATAAAGAAGATCTATGAAAACTCCCAAGGAGAAGACTACACCTTGGAAAGATCCCCAACCATTAATATAGTATCACCTTTAGGGGCTAAGATTTCAAAATATGAATGGTGGGAGCACAAACATTTAAAATATAGCAGCCAGAATATGTGCAATTTACTGTTAAATGGTTGGGGTGAGATGGGGAAGACAATAATAAGCAAATGAAGTCAAATGACAATACGGGCAAAAAGCATACAGGTTTTCGATATAGTTTTATTTTTGCAATTTTTCTATAAGTTTGAAATTATTTTCAAGTGAAAAGTTGAAATATACATTGTTAGCTAAAGTAATGCTTAGGGTTATGTGTTCCAGCACTGTGTCACCACATATCAGAAGTTCCAGAAAATTCATCTCAAATCAATACATGGCAAAAGGAATTTGTTTTAGCATTTGAAACAATTGAGCTGATATTATTTGTGTAAAAAACAAAGCAACTAACCTTTCAAAGTAGGTGTGATTTTATAATGAAGAATAACTTTAAAATGGTCCCATATTTTTTCTTCAGGTATATAGTTGTCTTATAAAAAGCAGTTGCTAAGCACAGGAAAAAGTAAATCAGAGTCAAATGAACAAAGGAAATTCTAAGTGTTGCTAAAGCAAAGAGTTCATAAAGGGAGTGGTTATGATGCAAGTGGTTTGCTTTTGATATATAGAGATTTTTCACTTGTAAGATACGTAGAAAGCAAAGCTGTTAGAAAGTCACTTTTCTACTGCCAGAATATTGTTAAGTTTCTGCATCATCAAATACAAGCTGAACTAGTTTCTTAGGGCATACAATAAAAGGGTTGAAGATTATAGGGGAATTTGAACTAATTTTCTAATTCCTTTAAATTTGCAAAAAGATCATTTCATGATGTGTATATGTAAAGATTTAATTTATGTCTTTTTCTGCTTTGAAAACAGTCTCTTTTTCAGCAGAGTAAATGATCTAGTCCCCTTACATGTTTTTGTTTTATCTTTCTACTTCTTACTTATTTCACTTAACATAATTCTTCCAGCTCCATCCACATTACCACAAATGGTATGAGTTTATCTTTGTTGATAACTGAGTAATATATACATATATGTATACATATATATACATACATGCAGTACATCTTCATGATCCCCTCATCTGTTCCACTCATCTGTACTTAGGTTGTTTCCATCACGTGTTTATAGTAAATCGTGCCACAGTAAACATGGGAGTCGGCTTTCCTTTCAAACTAGTGTTTTTGAATTCTTTCGGCTAATAACTAAGAGTGGTGTTTATGGATCATATGGCAGATCCATTTTGAATCTATGGAGAAATATCCATACTGCTCTTTATAGGGATGAGACCAGTCTACCACTAACAGTGTAGGAGGTTTCACTTTCCTCCACACTTTCTACAGCTTTTCAATAAGATTCATTTTCAATAATGTGAGGTGGTATCTCATTGTGATCTTGATTTGCATTTCTCTGGTAATAAGTGATGATGACCATTTTTTCATTTGCTTGTTGCCTTTTGTAAGTGTGTATGTCTTTAGTATTTCATCATAGAAGTCCAATGTTAGCCTGATCAGCAGTCCTTTGTTGATTATCTGCTTCTTCCCCATCACCTGCTTTAATATTCTTTCTTTGTCTTGAACTCTGGGAATGTTTACTACTGAATGCTATGCTGTATGTCCAGTTTTATTTAGGTACCCTAGTGTTTTATGCTGCATGGATTTGTATATTCAGTTCCTTTTCCAGGCTCAGGAAATTTTATTCTATTATCTCTTTTAGTAGGTTCCCTTCATTCTTTCTTCTCCCCACCCCAGAATACCCACTATTCTTATATTTCCCTTCTTCATGGAGTATGATAATCTTTGAAATATTTCATTTTTTCTTTACTTCATTTTTCTTTCTGCCTGGATTTTATTTTTTCATTCCCACCTTCAAGATCACCAATTCGTTCTTCCATTTGGTTCATTATACTTCTTCCATAGCTTTCCCCAGAATTTTTCTTCTCCTCTGTTAATCATTTTATGTCCTGTATCTCTGTTATTTTCTTATTTAAAGCACTGATTTTTTAAGGGTTTATTTATTTATACATACAGAACTGGAGTACAGTCCAGAGGTGTGGGAGCAGTGAGAGGATTCACCAGAGAAAGAGTGGGGAGCAGAACAGGCCAGCTGACTAAGTACATTGCTGAGGGGAGCAGCTGTGCCAAGAGAGGTCTGCAGTGCCATGTAGATCACCTCCAGGGTGAGGACTGAACTCGTGCTGAAATGGCTTTAGCTTCTTAGTGCTGCGCCACCAGGCAGGGCCCTTAAAGCACCAATTTTAATGTTCTCTTCATTGATTTTATTTCTAAGTTTGTTTTTCTGCATTTTCTTATTTTTCTTCTGCCTCTGAATTTCTTTATTATGACAATTTTGATTTCTGTGTCTGATAAGAAGATCATATTATCAATATCTTTCTGTTCAGTGTCTTTCTGGAAATTTGTTCTCTCTGTGTGATGTATTATTCCCCTGAGGAATCATCTGGTGACGTATGTATTTATTTGTATTTTTTCCCCATTATTTGCTAGGGGACTGTGCTGCTGTAGCTGATTTTCTCTTGAGTGAGGTTTGGTACCCATACTGGTATGGCTCTTACAGAGAGCATGGATGGAAACTGAAGGGACTCCCTAGACTCTGAGGTGGTTCTGGGTCTTTCCACAAGAACTGCTTTGGGTTTTGAACAAGTGAGGCTTGCCTCTTCCTTTTTTTTTTTTTTTTTTTAAATCTTTTCCTCCTTACCTCTCTTCTTACATCTGAATTTGCTCAATAATTGATATAGGTTTTTTCCATCACATAAAAAATATATTATTATAAGCTCCTTTGTGTTCTGCTCTCTAACTGACCTAGAAATATTGTCACAGACACTTGAGGATTGTAGTAATGATAGGTTATTGTGCTGAGCAGGAGATGAAATCTAGAGTGGCTGTTTGCTGCTGTATTAGCAGATAATGTCAGAAATGGCTATTGGCTATTTCTTTACCAATAATGATACTTTGGTGTTCATCTAAATAAAATACGTAAGACATGAAGTTGAACATTTTATCTATCAATGATAAGATATTTCATTAATTCAATTTTTAGGGTTATAGGTAGAAACTTTTCTCTATCAAAACATAAAATGAAAATTACAAATTGCACCTCTTACTATGTCCAAAGGGGGAGAAAGATTATGACATGACTTTGTTGTTATTAGTAAAAGTTCTGTTGAAGAAAAGTCAAATGAACTTTAAAATATGACCATTCTTAGGCTTGGTAAGTCCAAAATACCCCATTAAGTAAACTAGCCATACACATTGCCATAACATTTCAGTGTCAAAGTGGAATACTCCAAAAGTGTTCTCACACAGGATATCAGTTGTCTTTTAGGTGAGTCCTACCCACATCTGATCCATAGTGATAATGTGTCAAAGATAGCTGATGGAGTGAAGTTCAAAGAAAGTAATAGAAATGACTTCTTAGTAGAAATCACTTTCTATTAAAGTAATGGAAAGGACTTTTAATACATACTGGTTTCATAAAATGGTGAGTAGTGGTTGCAAAATGATTTCTGGACAATCTCTATGAAAGGGTAAGAGACAAGTGATAGTGAGCAGACATTTCTTTTTCTAAGTGAAAGGCAGTGAGGAACAGATCAAAATTGTTGGAAGAGTCGTGGACTACATTAAGACAAAGTACACTCCATTTATCCCAAGAAACATTGGCAAGAGTATTTTGTGACTCCTTTTTCTAAGCTTATTTTTAAGAAAGAATAAACTTTCTTTTGTAAATGAACTACATTTATTCCTGAATGAAAAGATAAAAGATAAACCAGACAGTCCCTCGTTTAGTTTGATTATTTGTCCCTTTCAGTCACAGAATCTCAAAGTTGACCAGGAATTTTAGAGATGATCGATTTTATATACAAAGAAGTCAGTGGTAGATGATTGTCCTAAATCGGGAAGATAATAAGTGGCAAAGTGAGGCAACAACACAATAATCCAGTCCATCACTTTGTAAAGCAACCTCCTTCATCTATGCAAAACATAATTTGAAATTAAATGCCACTGCATCCCTACACCTCCCCCTAGCACCCAGTTTTGACGTACATTCACATTTGCTTCATGATTTCTCCATCTGCTTGAGGTATCATAAAGGACTTATGATTAGATCCCCATCTGAATGTTTGTTTCAGCTCAAACTTGAACTCAGAGCTTTGCTGGAGTCAAAGCTAGTCCATTCCTTGCCCCCAATTCCATATGACTTATTCCAGGGCACAACACCATATTTCTCTGTTGACAGATTGTCTTCCTGTTTTGCCTTGTAGGTTTCACAGCAGCAGCCTCTCTGGTGTCTTTGGCTTGGGCCTTGGCCTCTTACCAGAAGGCTCTTCGAGACTCTCGCGATGACAAGAAGCCCATCAGTTACATGGCCGTGGTCATCCAGTTCTGCTGGCACTTCTTCACCATTGCTGCCAGGGTTATCACCTTCGCCCTCTTTGCCTCGGTTTTCCAGCTGTACTTTGGGATCTTCATTGTCCTTCACTGGTGCATCATGACCTTCTGGATCGTCCACTGTGAGACAGAATTCTGCATCACCAAATGGGAGGAGATTGTGTTCGACATGGTAGTGGGAATCATCTACATCTTCAGCTGGTTCAATGTCAAAGAAGGCAGGACACGCTGCAGGCTCTTCATTTACTATTTTGTGATCCTTTTGGAAAATACAGCCTTGAGTGCCCTCTGGTACCTCTACAAGTCTCCCCAGATTGCAGATGCATTTGCCATCCCAGCTCTGTGCGTGGTGTTCAGTAGCTTCTTAACTGGAGTTGTTTTTATGCTGATGTATTATGCCTTTTTTCACCCCAATGGACCCAGATTCGGGCAGTCACCAAGTTGTGCTTGTGAGGATCCCGCCGCTGCCTTTACTCTGCCTCCAGAAGTGGCCACAAGCACTCTACGCTCCATCTCCAACAACCGCAGTGTTGCCAGTGAACGTGACCAGAAATTTGCAGAGCGAGATGGGTGTGTACCTGTCTTTCAGGTGAGGCCCACTGCGCCATCCACTCCATCATCTCGTCCACCACGGATTGAAGAATCTGTCATTAAAATCGACCTATTCAGGAATAGGTACCCAGCATGGGAGAGACATGTTTTAGACCGAAGTCTACGAAAGGCCATTTTAGCCTTTGAATGTTCCCCGTCTCCTCCAAGGCTGCAGTACAAGGATGATGCCCTGATTCAGGAGCGGTTGGAGTATGAAACCACTTTATAAAAGGACTTCGAGGAGCCACCACCTCCACATGAAGGGGTGACAGCAGGGCTGTGGCAATAAAGAATCTGCATCCTAGAGTAGGGCCACGAGCTGTAATGTCCTTAGTCTGACCTTCCTATTATTGACCATGATATTGTTTGACTGCCTACAGCTGGTCTCCTTTCAAAATATCAGATGAAAGTGTCCTGCTCCACCTGAAGGGAAGATGCCAGCTCCATAGGACTCCTTGTCACTACCAACTCTTCCTGCACAGTCTCTCAGCACATCCACAGGAGGGTCACTATCATTACGGAAAATGTTGCCTCCAATCAAAAGGGTGTTTTGATGGAGTTAACTGATGTTTGCATAAAAATATATTCAGTCATATGCACATCTGCCTATGTATACGCACATTAACACATGCACACAACACCAGTTCTCTCTCCAGATAGTTTAGGTGATTTTTCTTGATGCAAAGTTCTGATTCCCAGAGGAAAATAAAAGGAGAGGGACTGTCTCCCTCAAGTCCACAGGAGAAAGAGTAGTACTGTTAGAAGACAATGGATACATCATTTTTTACATTTTGAAACCCATACCATGTGGGAAAAGCTTACCTACTCAATGGACAACAAACCCAAGTTTGTTTACCACATGTATTAGAATTGATAGAATGGTTAGTTTTTGACACATTTGTCCTTTGGTTTTTATTTTCCTCTTAAGTTGAAACCATCCTTTGACAGAAATCCTATGCAGCACATGTATGACTTTTGAGAAGACCAAGGAGCTTGATAACTTAGTGATGTAATTAAATGATAACCGTGATTCAGTATTCAATTGCAAAACTGTAATAAAGACACAAGAGGAAGTGGGGGGAAAGGAAAGATGATTTTTGGCCCGTGCAGCTTACATTGGAACCTAAGTGAGCTCAGCACGGCAGGAGAGGAACGGTCTGTAATTGGACGTTGCAGGTCCAAGAGTGCCCGACTGCGCAATCGTGGGCAGGCGAGATTCCAAAACAAGTCACGTCCCACCTTTCTAGTGCCAAACACCGTCCAACCACAGGACTTAACAGGGAAGTCCCATCAACTGAGAACGAGTGGCGTGAGCCCCACAAAAGCAGATGTGAGAATGAACAATCTTCTGTGTACAGACATTTACCCCCCTCCCCCCATCCAAGGTCAAAGTGATGTGTCTTTTAGAGGTTTGGGGATACTTTTTAGTAAGTATGAGCAGACAAATGCAGTGAATATACTATAAGAAAATCTTTTGAACTGATTGAGGGATTCTCAGTAGATCCAAATAAGATCTGTATTTGTATCATTTGTAAAGTCGCACTCTTACAACAAGCTTCTGGGTTTTAAATACCTCCGTACAGCAAGTAAAAGTCCCGCTTTCTGTTCCCAGTGTCCTCGGTCATGGTGCTTTTCGTTGCATTAAAAGTGCCGGTCAAACTTTGATAGTATTTTTTTATAGTTGGTGCAGAGTGGAATAACTCATGGATTATTTCAATATTTTTGTAATAAAGTATATAGGGTATACATATAGGCATCATCACTTTTTTTATAGACCTGAAATCGTTTAAAATACTTTAAGCATCATAATTACTTGGGATGTCAGAAACTGGTCTGCAAATTCCATCAGCCTGCCACTGCAGATTAAGAACACTTTTGTCTTGCAAGATCACTACTTTGCAATGTTGGTGCCCCAGGAACCTGGCCAGGGGTGCTATCAGAATATCAGGTGACAAGAGATTCAGCTTAACTAGAAAGGGCTTGTCAAGACTGGCCAATGTTTCCCAGGAAATCAAAAATGTAAATGATAACTTTCATCCATCCATAATGACAAACCTGACCACAGTGGAAGATGTCTTAAATTTCCTTCCCTGGTTTTATAATAACCCAACTGATATATTAAATAATAGTCAAGTTGCTTAAAAAAAAAAGAAAGAAAGAAAGAAAGAAATCAGTTTAACTTAATTATTCAGTTCTCTGGACTGTCCAAATCACTTAAAATTGTCACGTTCCATAGACACCACTTATAATGGATGTGTCACACAGAGACTGCTGTCCCCATGATGACATCCACAGGAAATGACAGAGGGCTCAACCTAGGACTTCTCTTGCCCCAAAGAAATGTTTAAGATTTAATGATTTTTATCAGTACACGTACTTTCTTAATACTCCATGATTTGATCCTCCAAGCAAGATTTCTACCAAAAAATAATAATCTTTTGTTTGGATGTGAAAAGATTACCTAGGCACCAGTAAAGGCCCAGGAAGACACTCTTCTTGTCAGCACTTGGTGAAAACATTCAACCCCCTTTGTAGAAGGAAAAATGATTATATTTGCAAATTCTTCACTTTTGTACAGAACTATGAGTTACTAGCTTCATTATTTCCAAGACAATTTTAATTGATGAGCTTTGGAAATTGAAATGTTCAGTTGAACTATACCTTTGATTCCATGAGTAAATAACAGAGTACAGTATTATAGTGTCAACACACACCCAAAAGGCCCCATCATTCTTCAATCATGTAAGTTCTAAATTATTTCTCAACTTGATCCTTCATTTAACATGTTAAGAGTCAAAAGAAGTGCTATGTGAAAAATAATGTACTGTGCTTTGTCTTAGAGGTGAGAATGCAGTCAGGCGTGTGTTAAACACTTGAATTTTTTGGTAATATCCCAAATACTGTAAAAGCTCTGTTATCCAACATTTTAAAAAATAACAATTTCTAAAATTCTTTGAAAGAAATGACATCTCTTCTAGTTTATAAATTATAAGTTTCTCAAGATTATGAAAACAAAAATATCTGCTTCTGAGGTAATTCATGACTTAATCTTGATTCCTTGATTCAGAACACATTTGCACTGCCATCAAATTGTGTGATAATAGCATATTTATAAGTTTCTAGCTGCATAGATAACAGAGAGTTTAAAGTATTAGAATTTAAAGAGACATTGTCAATATACAATGGAACAAAGTTTGATTTTTTTGTACCTAAATTTCAGTTCTTCTTAAGATTTCCTTTTCAGTCTGTCATTAAACACTCCACAGAGAGTATCTGAGACTCCAAAAGGTCAAAGCTATGGTTAGCATACAAATTAGAAATAATGGATTCTTCTGTGGATTCCAACTTCCCATGCCTGAATAGTAAGAGGTATGTCCTTAGTACTTATATTTTGCATAAGACCATAAAGTTTTCTAAAAGATGATATTACAAATTTTTTCACCTTGAAATTAGTTTTTCTAATAAAACTACATTTAAGATTAAAGAACATATATTTCTCAATTCTAATAAAACTGTAAGTATGTGTGGGAAAATATTTTTTTTCATGGAAGTCAAAGTTTGGTCCCCCAAAATGACTATGTCCTTTAAATTCTCTTCATACATTTACATTGTCCTACTTAACTATGTACAGTGAGTAACATTGACTTTGTAGTAACATTAAATGAATACCTCAGTAAATATTCATTTATGATAATGATGTGACCCCCAAAAATGAAATACATTCTCTTACTGACATGACAAGAATATTCAAGTATTAGCAACAGATAAAAACAACGATGGTCTGAAGATAAAAGCACAATGAAGTATATTTAAACTCCAAATGCCCAATTTATTTTACTCTATGAACAAATGGAGTGATAGCTCGGGTGTATTAAAAAGTATATAGGAATGACTGAAACCTCAATTACTTTTTAAAATAATATATATACGTGTGTGTGTGTGTGTTATTTGTAACACACAAATATATATATACATAAACAACTAAAGCAGCAGGTGAAAAAGGATAAAGTACATATTGTCCTTTTACACTTATGAATCATATGTTATTGACACAAGAATTTTTACATAGAAGGTTTTTATCTACTCCTTTTTAAACATGAGTTCACGCTTACAGTCCATGTCTATAAAACATCAACTTTTGTGAACTTCAGTTGGAAAACTGGATATAATTTAATGTTTTTAACTTCAGTAAGCTTTAGCACTCCGTCAGAATTTCTTCTTGTAAACAGCTGAATCAACTGTTTTTGAATCATTTCAAAGTTTCTTTCTTGTTCAGAGAATTGAGCAAAGAAAACCTCTCCTGCTCTTACACCAGATTTGTATAAGGTTATACATTTGCCTGTAAATGTACCAAATGCCTTTGAGTGGAAACAAGTTCTGACACAATGTTTAGACAAGAACCCAGAGATTCTTTTTTACCTAATGAGCCATTTTCTAGACTAAATATATGCTCCTCTGCATTCTCACACATCTTTGCCATTAGCCATTACTGTTTCTATATAAAGCTTGGATGAAATGCCTGCATTTTGATGCTTCTAAGAATTCCTTAAAGCCATTTTTTAAAATAGTTCCAACTACCTTTCAGACATGTAGCTCCGAGGATAGCTGAAGTACATGATCAAAACACAGCAGGACTGAGGTTATTGCTCCTATCATTTCAGTGATGGGTGCAAATCAACTCACTTTCATTTCTCTTTAGCAATTCAATGTCACCATTGAAAATGGTCAAAATATGACTCATAACACCCCTTTCTTCCGTAACTTGAGCATTTCAAGATGGCTCAGGAAGAGCCAATTACCTCTCCCCTATGATTTCCAAATCCCTGGCCTTGACCTGCATGAGGCTGTGACACTTCATCCAGCCTAAGAGCTGGATGACATCTTGTCCCCTCCCCCAGTAAGTTGTGCTGTACACTGTGGCTCTCCCTCTTGGACACATGCCTTGTCCGGTTGTCTTAAAATAGTCACCTGCGGGATTCACTATGATCAAGGGCCTTAACAATATAATTATTCATCCAAGAGTAAAACTCTGGAATGTTAGTGGGACTGCATAAAAACACAATGAGCCATTTAATTTTGCTAATTGCAACAATTAGACTAGCTTGCACGCAGCCTATTCTCACAGGAGAAAGACAAATGAAAGCAGTGGCAATCAGCCATGTGCCCACAGAAATGAGGAGTCAGAAGCTCTCCCTTGAGTGTCTGAGGCATTGTGGTGTTTCTCCGTCCATCTGTAGATCTGCCTCTAGAATCCAAAAGGAAAAAAAAAAATCAGACTTTCATTGTAATGCAAGAACTGATCTAGCCCAAAATGCAATACTTAAGTCACATTTTGTAGCCTATGTTTTGCTAAATAAGGGGTGGTTTAACAACCCTGAAATGTCTAATTTTTTTTGTTAAAATGTTTTCATTTTAACTGACTTAAGTCAGACTGACAATATAAGTTTCTGACAATGTTAACATAAGCCAGAAATACTGATTAAATCAAATTTTTGATGATTTTTTTCTGTTAGTTGTTCTTGCAGTTCAGCTCTTCATACTGATAGTCCTCATATTGACAGTCTTCCTTAACTGAGAGGTTATCACAGGCCTTGATATGATGATAAGGAGACTTACCCATGGGGTCACATTTAATCCCCACAACCATCCATGTGTTCAGAACCATTTATAGATGACAACACATACACTCAGATATTAAACAATTTGCCAGAGGTTCCACAGCTAGGAAGCAGTGCTGCTGAGGGGTGAAGACACTCCTAACAATTTTTAACAACAGCAAATTCTTTGAGAGAGCCAAGGAATATTTTCCCACCAAAATATATTGCTGATTTTGCAAGCTCCTCAGAGAAATGACAGTAACAGCAAATTTCTCAAAGAAAATTTCATTCAAAAGTGAAAGATGTCTTTAGAAAGAAAAATCTAAAAACAGAAAGTCAAAAGATAACTAAGGGTTTTTGTTTGATTTTTGTTTTTAGTTTCCCTATATTGATGTTCATATTTGTACAATATTTGCTTTCTCCCCTCAGGTGCAGTCTCCATATTGCAGTCCACCATCATAGCACCTGTGATCCATCACTGTAGTCCCTCGGGCTCTCCCCTCCCCATTTTGACCTGTCTCCCTTCCCCTCCCCTGCTGACTGCCTCAGATCTATGGTTAGCTTGCAAGTTTTATCTCTTTTCCTAACCCTTTTTGTCTGGTTGGTTGGTTTCTCTATAATCCACCTAGAAGGGAAATCATCCAATATTTTTCTTTTTCCTTCTGACTTGCTTCACTTAGCATAATCCATTTCAACTCCAGCCATGTAGCTGCAAATTGCTTGAGTTTATATTTTCTGATAACTGGGTAGTATTTCATTGTGTATATATAGACCTCATCTTCATCCATTCATCTGTTTTGGAGTATTTAGATTTTTTCCGTATCTTAGCTATTGTACATAGTGCTGCAATAAACATAAGCGTGCAAGGTTCCTTTCAAACCTCAATGGAAAGTTGTATGGAAGATCCTAAAAATACTAAAAATGATCTATAAATGGCCCAGTGATTCCACTCCTAGAAATTTACCCAATGTAACTTAATTTTACTTCAACTCTTTAATTCATAGATAAATGTTACTCCTTTGTTCCAGACATCTGTTTTCCTCCATGGCAGTACTCTGCACTAAAATAAGCGATAACCATAAATTAACCTAATGATTCTTTTCTCATTTCTATATACATTTGTGACTTACATGCAGTTAG